ATCCTCTTATTGCGGGCGGGAAGTTTGACGTAGGTGAGTGAAGGCTGGAAGGCAAGTGTTATGTTTAGCTTGGAAAACTCAGTAGGGTCTTCAGCCCTGCTGGGTGTTGTATGTTTGGTTGAGTATTTTAGATTTTATTCTTCTCATATTGAGAAGCCATTTAAGATTTGAGCAGGGGAACAAGATTCTTAAAGAAAATGACTATGACTAGGATGCACTGAAGGAAGGGGAATGACATACTCATTTATCTACAATTTGGGTAAGAGAGGAAGATTGCCTCTAATTCATTAGATGTGCATTGTATCTGCAGGAGCAAAATAAGCAGCGTATCTTAATGCATAAATCTTCCTCCCATGTACACGTTCTTTTTCATCACAGAGCAAGTATTTGGCAGCCAAGTCATCTTTAAAGTAATAAGAACAAAGCTATTTGGAATAAATGTTTCAGAACCATTTGTTACTTTGCGCAGACCTATGAGCAAATAGGGACTGAGCTAAAGCATTTACCCTGTAATGTGGTTCTGCAGGGGCTGCCACACTCTCATATATACTTTTATCTTGGCTAAACTCTGTTTCCACCACTATTACTCAAAGAACTGAAGTGTCAACAAGATAATCAGAAAGCAAACTGGGAGTCAAGAGTTTTTCTGTCATTGTTTCTTAAAGTCTCAGGAAGATTGTTTTCTTTGTATTCCCTATATTCAGAATATAAAAGCCTCCCAGACATCTAATCTTTACCAGGTCAAACATTTCAAAAGACAGTGAGACTATTTTCCAGTTGCTTTTCAGTTTAAGGTAAGTGTTTTAGGGGCTTCCAAACCCTCTCTCTTGAATCTATTTATAAAAAAGAAACAACAAAGAATGAAGTAAATGCAATATTATCCCAGCTACATTGTCCTGGTATAAAAATTCTAACAGAGCCTAGTGGAAAAAGGTTCTGAATCATGATCTAAGAGATCTGAGTTCTAGCTCTAATTTTGTGAATGCATAGCTTCACAAAAAGCTATGTCATGTCTTGTATTTAATGGGGAGATATTAGAATTTTTCTATATAGTTTCTGTGCTATTCAGTAGTATTGTTCACAATTATTTTTGCCTAATGAATCTAGAAAATGGGGAGACATACAATAATATTGTGCTCCACAATTTTGGGTGGACGCGATGTGTGTTACTTTGGGGCCAGAACTCACATTACTAATGTAAGGCTCCAGAATTCTTTCTGTCTGCAAAGATGATTAAGAGTGATAGCTTTGTCAGCCTGGCTCCAGGAATAAGGACTATGAGGATCAGAATTCCTAGCCAGCTCATAATGGATGTGCACAAGGAGTCAGAAATGAACCTCTGTTTTTTTAAACCACTGAGATTTTGGGGAATTACTTGTTACAATGAAATGATGAAGTTTATTCTGATGGATATGGTCTCCAAAGAGTATAACTGGGGTGCATGGGGAAAGCCTCAGGGATATTGAAGTTCCTTCTTTTTCTTAAGGTTTCTATAGATCAGTGTCAGAGCTGCTTTGGGGGGAATTGTTTCCTATCACTGAAAATACTGAAATATAGACTGTACAATCTCTTGAAGGCAGTGCTGTGGGAATGAAGGTGGTTGTGTGATATAACAAGGCATTGATGTTTGGTTTTCTATATTTTTGGCACAGAGCTCTGAAACCTTTGGAATTTCTTAAGTGTTGAGAGCAGTGAAAGTGTCGTTTGTTACATTAATGAGGTGACTTTTGGAAACCAACTAAGGGTGGAGGCGGATTGCTAGTGGAGCCAGCCAAGTGATTGGAGGGTTGAAACTTTCATTCTCACCCCTCTGGGGAGGTCAAAGAGGGCTGGAGGTTGAGTGATTCACCAAAAGCAAATGGTTTAATCAATTATGTTTATTATGAAGCCTCCATAATAACCCAAAAGAAGGGGTTTGGGCTGCTTCTGAGCTGGTGAACATGTGGAGACTTCAGGAAAAGGCATGCTCAGAGAGCAGGAAAGACTTGGATCCTTTCCCAATGCCTCTCTTCCATCTGACTGTTCCTGAGTTTATATATATATATGTGTGTGTGTGTGTGTGTGTGTGTGTGTGTATAACATTATATATATATAAAATTAGTAATATGTAGTAAGTAAAATGTTTCTCTGAAGTCTGTGACTCCACTTTGTGTGAATGAATTAATCATGCTCAAGGCAACTGAAGCACAGGTGGCAACCTTGACTTGCTACTGGCATCTGAGTGTGTATGTGTGCATGCGTGTTCTTGTAGCACTGAGCCCTTAATCTGTGGGGTCTGACGCTGTCTTTGACTAGGCAGTGTCAGAACTGAGCTGCATTTGTACAACCACCGGTATGTGATCCCACTTGGTATGGGGAACACCCTGACCCTCCACACTGGACTTGGAACTAAAGCTGACTCTGCAACACTATGGGTTTGAACTTGTGGGTTTGAATCCACCTATAGGTGGATTTTTTTTTTTTTTCAGTAAATACACATCTTTAGAGTCAACCAAACATAAATGAAGTTTTTATCTGAGGTTGGTTGAATCTGTGGATGTGAAACTTGTAAATACGAAGGGATCAACCTGACAGTACTTGAACTCACTGGTCAATCTTAACTTCATTAAAAATAGGACAATTTTTGTACTTTCTGTTGCAAAGCAATAGGATTGTACACAGCATCACTTGCAAAATAAGCTTGTAGTAATGTGAAATTGCATCTAAATCTAATTAATTCTTTAGCTCTGACTGTTTATAAGGAAAATTAGGTAAAAGGGAGCATCTTAAATAATATCACAGGAATATAGTCAATAGACTTCTGTGGAAAATTCTACAGGATAAATTACTTAGTTTCTTCAATAAATCAGTGCCAAAAAAGGAGGGAGAGCTATTGTAGACTAACAGACACGTCCGCCAATTGCAACATGTGGACCTTGTTTAAATTTTGATTTCAATGGACCTTGTATAAAAAAGACATTTTAACCCAGTTGGAGGAAATTGAGTATGGCTTGGTTATCGTGCTAAGAAGAAATGATGATTAAATTTTGGGGGTGAGATAATGATGTTGTTGTTATGTTAGAAACAAGTTCTTATCTGTTGGAGATAAATACTATTACCTTTAAGGAGAAATGACATGATGTCTGAGATTTGCATTAAAATAGAACACTTCCCCCACCCTCCCCAAACTCCTAAACTAAAATAAATGAGCAGAAAGCTAAGTGTGAGAGTGAGTGTGTGTGTGTGTGTGTGTACCAGAACAAGAATGGCAGAATATTAATAATTGTTGAAACTGAGTGATGAATAAACGACACTGCATTCCTACTATATCATTCTCTTTACTTTGTGTATGTTTAAAAATTCCTACCGCCAAAAATAATTAAAAGAAAAAATCCTCCTTGTCCCTTCTTTTCTTGGGATCCACCAAGAAACAGGAAGATTTACTCTCATCAGCAAACCCTCCCGAGGCTCTTGATGTCCTGTCTTCACTCCCTTCGCTGCCGGAAACTTTCAGCCATTCTGCAGTGCCCTTGCACATGGGGGCCCGCCTCAGTCCCCAGGGTGTTTCTAATGAAAGCAGTGACTTCTGGGAGTCCACGCCATCCTTGTGTGCCAGCACTGCCACTGGATCCTGGCCAGCACCCCGAAATGAGGTGTACCCTAATTCTAGAGTGGAGTCAGGAGGATCCAGATGGATTGACACTTTTAACTGGTATAAATTACAGACCACAAGCAGAGGTGTGCAAGAAATAGTATGACAATTTTTTTTTTACAACTCCATTTAATTTGTATTTTAAGCCTTGATCCTGCTGGTGCCCTCTTTGGATTTCCACCCGTCCCTGTTTGGAAGCCATACAGGGCGAAGGTTTTGAGGGAGGGGACGGACGCGTGGTCGTTGTTGACTGGAGCACACAGTGCAGTGAAGACGTCCATCCGCTCGGACGCCTTCCCTCCTTTAGGTTTGGTGGCTTCTGTGCCATGCAGGCCTCCCTCGTGGCTCAGCGGTAAAGAATCCACCTGCCGATGCAGGAGACCCAGGTTCGCTCTCTGGATCAGGAAGATCCCTGGGAAAAGGAAATAGTAACCTGGTCCAGTATTTCTGCCTGGAAAATCCCATGGGTGGGGAGCCTGGCAGTCTGTAGTCCATGGGGTCAAAAAGAGGCAGACACGACTGAGCAGCTGAGCAGGCATGTGCCAGATGTGGGACAGATTGCCATCATTCTGCTGGTACGCACATGACAGCCATCTCCTTCTAGAATTTTTGCCCCATCTACCCCTCCAGCCACACTTGAGAGGCCTTTTCTCCTCCAGGATCCACAGACGTCCCTCTCTGACTTAATTAGCGCCTTTCAACATTCCAAGAGGGAAACAAGACAGTATGTAATTTAAAAAACCTGCTTCTGTTACATTTCTGCTCAAGTATTGTCTCTTTTCCATGGTGTTTGGGATTTCAGAAATAAAAGCCAAGATGATCAGCATGCCATTGCTGCTACACCCTGCCCTGTTCTTCCACTGGCCAGCGAACACAGGCTCTGCTACCCACTTGAATGCAGAAGGGAAAGAGTGAAATAAAGGGAGAAAAGAAAAAAAAAATAAACAGGAACAGATTAACATCTCAAAATATCCTGCTACATTTGAAAGATGTGAGAGTTGAATTCATGGGTGGGGTTCTACGGGAAAAAGGAATTGTTCTTGAAAAACGAGGTCTGTGCTGTTGCAGAGACAGCATTGCCCCTAGGTCCACAGAATGCTCTGATGTCATCACTGAGGTCAGAGAATCCTGCCGTGGGCCTGGCGACCTTTGAACCTTAACAGCCCTGCGCTGTGGAGAGCGCTGGGCAGTGCTGCTGCTTTAAGTGGTCCAAGTTCTTCAGCCACTTTGGAGACTTGACTGCTTTTACTCGATTTAATTATCAAGTCATTTCAGCGGGTCTCCGGAGAGCCAAGAAGGGCCAACCTGTAGCCAAGAGGAGGAGCTGGACGTGTGGCATCTTCTTCGAGGGGGTCTTCTAGTTGGGACGATGAAAAGGCGACAAAAGAGGAAACACCTGGAAAATGAAGAGTCCCAGGAGACTGCGGAGAAAGGAGGAGGTATGTGGGGGTAATTTGTCTGGGGCACAGGGGTTTCTGCCAACCTGAGCCTTCTCTAGGAAGGGGGCACTGAGAACCTGTTACATATGAAGCAGGGAGCAAGATACCATCACAGTCTTGGTGATGTTGCTGTATCCAGCCGGGGGGAGGTCTCCGCGGTGTGAGATGGCCACGGAAGGGCCAGATGCCCCAGGCAGGTGGGAGGTCGGTCCTGCTGGTTTGAGGACTCTCCAGGGGCCGAAAGCCTGGGGCTTCGTGGCACTCGCAGAGGCTGTATCCTGCCCGCGCAGACCTAGACACGCAGCTTTTCTCAATCTTCGAGTTCTTTCTGCTTCTCTTTGCCTTTTCCCCTGGGGTCACGGGCTAGGGGATGTGAAGGATGCTGAGACAGATCCGTGGGTTGCTTGGCCCCTTTTACCAAAGAGGAAAGAGAAGCCCCATGAGCTGAAGGCCTTGTTGGAAAATATCTCAAGGAGTGGAATGCTCTTCAAAAGCAGGTTGTTTGTCTAGGGATGGCGTCCTATAGAAAACATGGAGGTTTTATCATTCGACAGGAAGAATTTCCCAAAGGAGACTAAGGGAGAGGGGAAGGTCCTTCCAGAACCTGAGACAAGGGTTGGGGTGAGAAATGTTGTTAAGAGTCCTGTAGGGAGCTCTGAGAGCCACGGCTCCAAGGTGCCTGCGTGCATTAAGTGTAGGTGGGTAGTCACCCTGGGAGAGGGGGTGGTCAGGTGAGGAAGTGGGGCAGAATGCAGCCCACCCCAGAGTTCCAGCTGGAGGCCTAGGCCCCAGATTAGAGCCGCACCTCCCACCGGGCCCAGGGCCCTGGCGACCCTAGGGTGGGACTTGGAAGCAGGCAGCAGCTGGGACAGGATGGGGAAAGCAATGACTACCCTGCCCCTTACACATCAGAATGTTTCTGTGTGTGTGTGTGTGTGTGTGTGTGTGTGTGTGAGAGGAGGGAGAGTGGGGAGAATGGGAGTGGAGTGCTTATCAGATATAAAGTCTACATGGTAAAGTTCTTGTCACCGTGCCGGGACCTGGGCGACCCTCAGAGTATGTAAGGGGTGTTTCATGACACAGTCACTCATATACTCATGTACACTGTGATATAGCAGAAATATCACACCCCTCCACACATAAGCTCCTTATTAAACCACACATTGAAAATTGGGTGTCCTGTATTTTTGTTTGCTAACTCTGGCACCTGCTGACGTATTATGTACTGATTATATTTTTATATTATTTATATTTTTGTTTAGTGTCTGTCTTCCCCCACTAGAATGCTCAGCTTTACCAGAGATCAGAATAATGGAATAGTGCCAGATACATAGTGACTGCTCACTGAATCTTATTGAATGAATGAATGAACACAAACCATAAATATAAGCCATGCCATGTCATGAGGAAGAGTTATATGTTCCATAATTCCTGAATTGTAAACAGAAACCATACACACAAGTGCCACAGACACAGATACACACATTTGCACTGTGCTTACCACACTGACTCCACACTTATCACAGACTTAACTAGTACACATCACTCATATTTCTATATACTTACAGTCACCTCTCAGACCTATGTTCCCCCAAATACACCAACAGAATAGTTATTGATTTTAATTGAATTCCGGAGTGTATACCAGGAAACATGCTCCAAACCATATGTATTCACTGCACCTAACATGTGTCAGACACTTGGTAAATATTTGTTGGACAGACGACTGATGAGCAAACATGTCCAAACCACTCTCTCTCTCAGCCTCTAATTTCTCTCCCAGGAATCTCAAAATCACAAGAGGATCCCCCTCAGCTAGGATGCACTGCAATGGCCCAAGTCTGCCCCCAAGGGGCAGGGGAGGTCTCTTCTGCCTCTGAATACTTCTCCTGTGTTTCTTCTCCATGCAAGCTCATCCACGGTGGTAAGAGTGCGGGAATCCTTGAGTGTAAGGGTGCGTGGCTCTGGAGCAGGGACACATAGGTCCCAGTGAACCTGAGCAGAAACCAAGGGTTCTCAGAGTTGGTCAGGGCCCTGTGGAGGAGCCTGGGGAGGACATCTGAGCTATTAGGAGGGCGTGGACCAAGCTCAGCGTGGGGGTGTGTGAGTCTTGGTCCCACCATGATGGGGAAGTTAAGGAGAGGGGCTGGAGAGGTCTGGGCTTAAAGTGGAGGGCAGAGGGACCAGGTTTAGCATCTTTGGAGGGACATGTAGCACTCATCTTTGCCTTTGTTTCCAGAGAAGGACAGAGTTCTTGAGCTCAGCCCAAGGGCAGGACCATGCCGCTCAGGTCCACACACCTCCCATGTGCATCCGCTCTCCACTCATAGCCATTCTCAGCCCAGAGACCAACCCCAAGCAGGTGATTCCCCAGGGCCCTCCTCCTATACCACAGCCCACCTTCCACAAGTAACACATCAGTGATATTCCCCAACTCACCTGTTCCTGGTAAACACACCCACCAGCATCCCTCACATACCACAGCATGCCCCTGCACCACACTCCACACCCCTGCACACAGATGTGGCTCCAGTATCTGCTCCCCCGCCCACAGATGAAGAGCCCACAGATGCCAACACATACCCCACCCCATCCTATGGCCAACAAACCCCAAGCTCATGACACAACTGTGTCATGTGGATGTCCCTCCCCACACCTGCACCCTCGGCTCCTGGAAGGACCCATGCATGTTCTTATGTTTCTAATTTCCTTTCCCAGGAATCTGGAAGTTGCATCGAGACAGTTCCCAGCCTAGAGCACCCCTAGCCCATCTTCAAGAACAAGGGGAGATGGCTCCCCTGTCACCACGTGTCTCCTTCTCCTCCCCTTCATCCTACAAGACCTGCGCAACCTCTCTGCATATGAACAAAGAGAAGAGGGGCATGAAAATATACTACATGCAGGTACAAATGAAAAAGGGCGTTGCTGTCTCCTGGGAGGCAGAGAAACCCTCGGAGTCGCTAGAAAAGCAGCCGAGGATGGAGGAAGTGACCCTTCCTGAGGACGTGCGGGTGGGGACTCCCCCCTCGGACGTGTCCACCAGAAACCTCCTGTCTGACAGCGAGCCCAGCGGGGAGGAGAGAGAGCACGAGGAGAGGGCTGAGGCAGACAGCCCCGCCCCAGGGTCACCCACCGTCGAGGAGAGGCCCCGGGCCCGGACACCCGACTGGCTGGTGACCATGGAGACCGGCTTCCGCTGCATGGCCTGCTGCCGGGTCTTCCCCAGCCTGGAGGTCCTGCAGGAGCACGTGCAGAATGGCATCCGCGAGGGCTTCAGCTGCCACGTCTTTCATCTCACCATGGCCCAGCTGACAGGCAAGGCAGAATCGGAGAACACCCCTGAGGAGGAGGTGGAGGACGCGGACGAGGACGGGGAGGACGAGAAGCAGGAGGAAAAGGAAAAGGAGGAGCAGCAGCCTGCGGGGGAAGATGTCAGCTTGAGGAGACCCTGGAGCCAGTGTCTGGGCTGTGTGTTCCATTCTCCCAAGGACCGGAAGTGAGCAGTGCCCAGGGCTGCAGCGGGAGCTGTATCTTCTCCAGTCCTGTCTCTCCACCCTGGCTCAGAAGGGAGAGGTGGGGCTTTCTCACCTCAGGGGACAACCGAAGTGGGCAACTGGGCCCCTTGCTTCTGGCCCAGGCATTTTAATAAAGTCATGACTGTAAGAGGGAATTTATCCTGAGTTTTTCAGCTTCCCTTGGAAGTTCTCTTTAACTCAAAAGCATCTCTCTTGATTTCCACACAGCAGCTGATAATTCATGGGCCAGAAGATCCTGGAAGATGGTGTGGCCTTCTCTCGGAAGAGGTGAGACCTGAGGCTGGCACAGTCTTCTGAGCCTATGTCATGAGGGCCCAGAGGAATCTCAGGGAAGGGGCCGAGGAGATGCTCTGGGTTACCTGATGGCTCTGCCGTCGCATCACCTTGGGGCCCACGCAACACTTGGGAGGGATTGACCTCTGTTGATTTAGAAAAGAAGGTGGAATGTTTTGATTGAGTTTTCTCAGGGTCTCCATGATTGACTTCGACTCTAAGAGGATGTATTGCCAGTAGCTCGTCTTGGTAGAGAGAACCAGGAGTGGTCTGGAAAGAGAACAGGGGCCTCGCAGGATCCACAGTTTGAGGTCTTGAGAGCCTGTGACCTGAGCCAGGACCTCACCCTGACCACTCTACCTAGCGTTCTGGGACAGAGGAGAGTGGAAGAGGGAGTCATATGGAAATGAGGTCCCCTGAGGTCTGGAAATATATTCCAGAACCTTCACTGTGTGATCAGTTCAGTTCGGTTGCTCAGTCATGTCTGACTCTTTGCGATCCCATGGACTGTAGCACACCATTTCCCTGTCCATCACCGACTCCCAGAGCTTGCTCAAACTCATTTCCATTGAGTCAGTGATGCCATGCAACCATCACTGTGCAATAGTTTGATCTGGAGTCTGACTCTCTGTGGTGTGCGTGGCTCTTGAGCTTTGAGGCAGAGGTGAAGGGTGACTCTGACCAGCAGAGCCCCTGGTGCTTCTTGTCTCTTCCTGTCCTGCCTCATTTGTTTTCTTCCTTCCAGAGAGAAGAAAGGACCCTGGAGAGAGTAGCAGACAGAATGCCAGTGGTCTGAAGGAGGATGAAGGGGCTGGCATTGAGTCCAACATCATATGACAGTATAAACATGATATGTAATAAAGGGTATTTCCCAAACCTTTCCTGGATATTTTATTTAATTACATTTATCTACCTATGCATCCATCTATCAGTCATCTACATCTATATCTCTAGTGGTTTGTTTGTCAACAAAGTTTCACAGAAGCACCAAAGATGTCCACCAGCCTTTTCCAGAAGCAGCAGTCCCCAAGTTCCCAGGGTTGATGAGGCTTCTGTGTGATTAGTTTTCGAAGACTGGATACCATGTTTTACATGAAAACATGGCAGACCACACTGAGTTCAGGTAAAGCCACTGGGAAGTGGCAGGTGCTGTGGGAGCTGTGTCCAGTCGGTCATGATTGAAAATGCTGTGACCAGTAACTTCAGAGGATGGAGGGTGGTGTATGTGTCTTCAGGGCTAGATTGGGAGAGAGACTTGACTAGTTTCACAATGAAACACTGGGACAGAGGAGGAATTCCCCAGTCTTGAAGCTACTGATGGAACAGTTTCCTCCTGAGATGGTAAGACATTATTATAGTGCTGAAAGAGGGGCCATCTGACCTCCATCAGGAATTTGGAGAAAAGATCACCATGTTAGGAGTCTAAACTAATTCTGATGCATTTCATTTTCTAAATAAATTCTTATTCTAGCCTCTCAAGGTTTTGACTGTATCACCTCTGAACTATGTCTTCTCATCACTGCTACCACCCAGTGGAGTCAAAGGCTCTGGGAGGCACGGAAGACTCGCTTTGATGTATGATCCATGGTCTTTAAGGTAAAGGAGGAATAATGTATCTTCCTCATCTGGGTAAGGGGCCAAAATCAGGTTTTGGTAGGGCTGATAGAAGGAAATCATTTTGCAGTTCAGAGACTTTTGTCAGTTTAAGCAGAATAAGGTCTAACTCCAAAGTCCCATGGGTTTATTTTTTTTTTCCCTCAGGATATATAAGGAGACTTCCACTGGGCTTCATTGAATCAACAATTGTTCCAGGGATCTGGTTTTGTCATTATTATTTAGATAAAAATAATAAGCCAGCTTCCCAAACTAAGCAGTCTTGAGAGAGAAGAATGGAGCTGGAGGAATCAGCCTTCCTGACTTCAGACTATACTACAAAGCTACAGTCATCAAGACAGTGTGGTGCTGGCACAAAAACAGAAACATAGACCAATGGAACAAGATAGAAAGCCCAGAAATAAACCCATGCACCTATGAATACCTTATACTTGACAAAGGAGGCAAGAGTGTGCAGTGGGACAAAGACAGCCTCTTCAATAAACAGTGCTGGGAGGAAAACTGGACAGTTACATGTAAAATAACAAAATTAGAACATTTCCTAACACCACACACAAAGATAAACTCAAAATGGATTAAAGACCTAAATGCAAGACCAGAAACTATAAAACTCTTAGAAGAAAACATAGGCAGAACTCGATGACACAAATCAAAGCAAGATCCTCTATGACCCACTTCCTAGAGTAACAGAAATAAAAACAAAAGTAAGCAAGTGGGACCTGATTAAACTTAAAAGCTTTTGCACAACAAAGGAAACTATAAGCAAGGTGAAAAGACAACCCTCAGAATGGGAGGAAATAATAGCAAATAAAGCAACTGACAAAGGATTAATTTCCAAAATATACAAGCAGTTCATACAATTCAATACTAGAAAAACAAACAACCCAAACAAAAAGTGGGGAAAAGACCTAAACAGACATTTCTCCAAAGAAGACATACAGATGGCTAACAAACACATGAAAAGATGCTCAACATTGCTCATTAGTGGAGAAATGCAAATCAAAACTACAATGAGGTATTACCTCACACTGGTCAGAATGGCCATCATCAAAAAGTCTATAAACAATAAATGCTGGAGAGGGTGTGGAGAAAAGGCATTGTTGGTGGGAATGTAAATTGATAACAGCCACTATGGAAGACGATATGGAGATTCCTTAAAAAACTAGGAATAAAACCACCATATGACCCAGCAATCCCACTCCTAGGCATGTTACCCTGAGGAAACCAAAACTGAAAAAGACACACATATCCCACTGTTCATTGCAGCACTATTTACAATAGCTAGAACCTGGAAGCAACCTAGATGTCCATCAACAGATGAATGGATAAAGATTTGTGGTACATATACACAATGGAATATTACTCAGCCATAAAAAGGAATGCCTTTGAGTCAGTTCTAATGAGATGGATGAACCTCGACCTATTATACAGAGTGAAGTAAGAAAGAAAAAGATAAATATCATATTCTAACGCATATATACAGAGTCTAGAAAAATCTAGAAAAATGATACTGAAGAATTTACTTACAGGGCAGCAGTGGAGAAACAGACATAGAGAATAGACTTGTGGACATGGGGAGAGGGGAGGAGAGGGTACGATGTATAGAAAGAGTAACATGGAAACTTACATTGCCGTATGTAAAATAGATAGCCAATGGGAATTTGCCGTGTGGCTAAGAAACTCAAACAGGGGATCTGTATCAACCTCGAGGGGTGGGATGGGAGGGAGATGGGAGGGGAGTTTAACAGGGAGGGGACATATGTATACCTATGGCTGATTCAGGTTGAGGTTTGACATAAAACAACAAAATTCTGTAAAGCAATTATCCTTCAATAAAAAATTTAAAAAAAGAAAAAATGTGGTACATATATACACTGGAGTACTTCTTAGCCATAAAAAGAATGAAATAATGCCATTTGCAGCAACATGGATGGACCTAGAAATTATCACACTTGGTGAAGTAAATCAAACAGAGAAAGGCAAATATCATATGATTTACATGGAATGTAGAATATGATACAAATGAACTTTTTACAAAATAGGAACAGACTCATAGAAACAAATTTACAGTTACCAAAGGGGAAAGGGGATGGGGAGGGATAAATTAGGAGTTTGGGATTAGCAGATATGAACTACTAAATATAAAATAGATAACTAACAGGGTCCTACTATATAGCACAGGGAACTATATTCAATAAAAATAACCTATTGAAAAAGAATATGAAAACACACACACACACACATATATATACATATATATATATAAATGAATCACTTTGCTGTCCACCAGAAACTAACACAACATTGTAAATCAACTATACTCCAATAAAAAATTGGCTTCATGTTCACCAGTCTCTCCATCTGGGAAAGGATCTCTCATCCATACAGACACATCCCTTCAGGGTCCCAAGTTCCTCCCCTCCACAGTCATCCCAACAAATTCAGAATTTAAGGTTTATCCCTCCCTTCCAAACTCATGCCACATGGGAGATTTCACTCACACTATGACATTCTCTGCACACTCCACAATCTTCATCTTGGCTCCTCTTCTCCTGCTCTTGAACTTACCAAGATTTATCCTTTTCCCCTCTTTTCCTAAGTCTTTATCATCTCTTACTTTCTTGAGAGATTTTGAACTTCTCTCTTCCACTGACCTCCACATAAATTGGTAGGATATTGGTTATTAAATGAGAGTTCTCACTGCTCTTCCTACTGGGATAGACTTCCCTGTAAGCATGGACCAAGGGTAACATGAGGGCCTGTAGGCAGGATTTAGCGTTGCAGGGCGCAATTATCACTGTGCTTACCTATTCTCGCAAGATCCAAGTTGACTGTGGAAGAGGGAATTGAAGCCTGCAGCTTGAATACTTTTCTGACCAAGACGAGTTCACATATCACAATGTATCTTCTCTGCAATATGTGTTAAGTCACTTCAGTCACGTCTGACTCTTTGTGTCTCTATGGACTGTAGCCTGCCAGGCTCCTTTGTTCATGGGATTTCCCAGGCAAGAGTACTGGAGTGGGTTGCCATGGCCTCTTCCAGGGGATCTTCCTGACCCAGGAATCAAGCCCTCATC